CAAGACAAATACAAACAGATACACAAAAAATCCGTCAGAAAATTAAGAAAGCAAAAGAACGTTGGATGGTGGAAAGGTTCAACGAAATAGAACAATTACAGGAAAAAGGAGATAGTTTTGGACTACATAAGAAGATCAAAGAAATATCGAATATACACAAAAGCCACCACAGAACAAGAATACGCAACGACAGAAACGAATACATAGAGTCAGAAGAGGAGATAGCAATGGCGTGGAAAGAATACGCAGAAAGCCTTTTTAATGACGAAAGACCAACACAACCAACGCGCAAACTTCCTTCCGAAAACTTATCAGGGCCATCAATAATGCGAAGTGAAATAGAATATGCAGTTAGAACCACAAAGATGCATAAAGCAACAGGTCCAGATGAAATTAATATAGAAGCAATAAAACTACTAGACGAGAATATCGAAATCTTGGTAAGGCTGTTCAATAGAATTTATGATACTGGTTACATCCCGCGAGAATGGCTGCAGTCATCCTTTGTGATGATCCCAAAAACAGCTAATGCCACAAAATGCAATGAACACCGCTTAATCAGTTTAATGAGTCACTTGTTGAAACTCTTCCTTAGGATATTACACTCAAGAATGTACAAGATACTAGAAGAACTTAGCGGGTCAACACAATTCGGTTTTAAGGGAGGACTAGGAACAAGAGAGACAATTATGTGTTTGAACACTTTAATACAAAACTGCTTAGATCAACGAAAAGATGTGTACCGCACCTTCATCGACTACGAGAAGGCATTTGACAATGTTAAACATGATATCATGATGGAACTAGTACATAGGGCCAACATTGACCAGAAGGAGATCAGAATTATTCAGAATCTATACTGGAACCAAATGGCAAGGTGAGGATTGATCAAGACCAATATACGGATGAATTTGAAATCCGGAAAGGTGTCCGCCAAGGCTGCATACTCTCTCCGATGCTTTTTAATTTATATGTTGAAAATGTATTTGCGGAAGCATTAGAAGATACGGAATTAGGCATTAAGGTGAACGGCATACCAATTAGCAACCTACGCTATGCGGACGACACAGTGATTATAACTGATAATTTGGAAGATCAGCAGTTATTACTTGATAGGGTGAATAGCATAGGTAAAAAATATGGCCTCAAAATCAACATTTTGAAAACGAAATATATGGTCATTAGCAGAAACCCTCCAGAAAACCCGATAATATGCATAGGTGACAATCGTATAAATCGCGTGAAAACTTTTAAATACCTTGGCACCACAATCAATGACCAATCGGATCCACAACACGAGATAAAAACCCGAATTCAAATGGCAAGACAAGCTTTTGTGAAATTCAGACCGCTCCTATGTAATCAATTCCTAAATTTCGAAATACGCTACAGAATGGTCAAGTGCTACATATGGTCCATCTTGCTTTATGGCATGGAAATTTGGACTTTAAAAAAAAAACATCTATCAACAAACTTGAAGCATTTGAAATGTGGTCATTGAGAAGAATGATGCGCATACCTTGGGTGGATAGAGTTCGAAACGATGACGTCCTTAATAGAGCCGGCGTGGAAAGAGAACTCTTTGAATTAATTAAAAAACGCAAGATTGGTTACCTTGGGCACATATTGAGAGGAGCAAAATATGAAATACCACAGTTAATCCTACAAGGGAAGATTGAAGGTAGGAGAGGAGCCGGCCGCAAACAATTGTCCTGGTTAAGGAATATTAAAGAATGGACAGGAATACACAATACAGGTGAGCTGTGTCACGCCGCCAAGAACAGAATTCTAGTAATGAGATAGTCGCCTACGCACTTTTGTGTATGGCATGTTAGGAAGAAGAAGAAATGCCGAAAAACAATTTTCAATAACAGTTTGATTTTTATATTCCGAGGACAAACCTAAATTTTGAATTTTTCGGTACCAATATTGTGTTAAATGAAATTTTACAACAACAAATAATAATGTTGGGCCACACTAACTTGGCTGCATTTTGAATTGCTATTTCAAAATCAAAAATTATTCGTTTCGGTTTGAAATTTAAATTCAAATATGTACAAACTGTTATTAATGTATCAAAAGTACTTTTGTACGACTGCTGTAATTTATTTTTTAACATACAAAATACTAGAGGAACATAGAAACCATTTTTGTAGCCTTGTATAGTAAACATCTGACAAAAATATTTAGAACAGTATAGAAAAGTTCCATCTACATACAAAGAATCTACATTACACAAAAAGTAAAGATTTGTGAAAAAACTAAAAATTGCGAAATTATTTTTCGTAGATAATAAAAAGTTTTCACCTGTATTTGTTTTTAAATTTAAGTTCACTAACACTTGTAGAACTTCTTCCTGTGAGTTGGGCAATGATGGTGTGGATTTCGCCTTGCAGCATAGATATTTCTTCGAACGCAAGAAATGTCTTTCGTCAGCAGTAAGGTTAAACACAGACAGGGCGGTTTGCGCCGCATCTGCGCCTCGTCGGCTGCCGCGCGGCTTAAAACATATTAGGCGGTTTAACAGCGGCAGTAGTTTTGCCATTGTATTCGGTGATGCCAAATTTAGTCGAGTTTTGGACGTAGAATTGTATAATGATGTTTCTAGAATCATCTAGTGAAAGTGACGACGATTTGTTTTCCTAATAAGTGCAAGTTTACTTCATATTAAATCAAAGAAGAAGAAGAAAGGCAGGTATTGGATACATTCTATAGTAAATGAATGAAAAAATAAAGGAACGCTTTAGACGTTAGTTAACGAAATTAAAGATGGCCCAGAAAAGCATCTTTCGAAATAAAGCTGTGGGTAACCTCTTCCCAAGTTTGTTTTTTCTTTATTTTATTCGAATAATTATCTGAGTGCATATCCAAAATTGCTGGCCGTGTGTGGATTTTGGTAATTAATTTATCGGTGTCTACAGCTTCCATAATATATACAATATTTGGCAAACACCCACAAAAGTTACCAAATAAAACCGCTGCAAAACAGTCACACGTCTGTGTGTTGAAGCACGAGATATCTATTACTGATGTGTCGCCGGAAGTCATAAAACCGCTGACGGTGCATGATACTGACCATAGGCCGCGCGGCGGCCGACGCGGCGCACGTCGCTATGTCTGTGTTTAACTTAAATTGCTGAAATTTTCTTTCCTCAGTTCCTTGTGGAGAATCTTTAAAGGTTTTTCACATATTACTTCTACAGCTTTCCTCTTTGTAGAATTACTAAAAATTTGTCGGTCAACGTGGATATCTGGAGCATGATTATACTCCACCGATGCTTTTTCAAGAATAATGTAATTTTTCATCACCTTCCTTTATGTACACTTTTTGTTGACACCCTTTTTGATGCATCGTCATCTAACTTTTTCATCTTCGAAGACATGGGCCTTTGAATATTTATATTCATTAATTATTAATAAAAGTTCTCCCCTTTGACTAAACATAGTCGTTGGATTCGCCATTTAAATGTTAAACACTAACGGACAAAACTATTCCGTATTACTTGCAACTGAAGTCAATAACTGAAAATATTTATATTCTCACTTTCAGCTATAATCAAATTTGTAATTGCCGGTCATTAAGACTTAATCCCCAACTGTCTCGGCGATAGGGCAGCAGATACTTTAGATTAATGGACCCAGGTAGTTCGTGGAGCAGTTAGATAACGCCAAATTATTTTATGTTTTAAATTAAATAATCAACTCAATTTATTTTTACAACCCAATACTTTCTTATAATATTATTTACATTAGTGAGGATAGTCTGATTAGTCTGAAATTTGGACAGTGGATTATGTTTTATTTTTTATTCACTTTTCAATCTATACATTTTTTTGCGCTTAGTTATAGTTTTTCTGTAACTCGCATTTAAAAAACTGATATTTTGACATAAATTTGAAGATGCCACCGCCATTACAGCTGCTGTCAATGATGTGCGTGTGCGTAATACATACTTCTTGATCCAATGTTGCCACACTTTTCAAATATATTGTTTATTGTGAAAATATTAATTCCCAAGTACAATCATAAAGGAATAATGATAATGAGTATTATTTCCATTTTCTGTTTCTAAGGGATTCATATATCTGTATTTCATTTGTTATTAACTTATATTATTACATATAGATTATAGTTTATTTCGTTTGCCGTAAATAAATTAAACCGGGTTAATTTGTCTATGCATACCCGATTAAATGTCACTGAACAGCACTGCTTCCGACTAAAACATGGCTGATTCCGTCTGCGCGAACGAGATGGGCGTACTTATTTTTTCAAGCAGAGTGGGCATTCTGATTGTTTATTATTCTGTGATATTAGTAACAAATATTTCAAAAGCTTTATTAAAATATTTCAAAATCTCAATCTTTTAAGTTATATCCACCGGCATATTAGCACTATCGGTAGGTAACAACTTATATGGACATATATTCTTATTAAAACTTAAATTCATTATATTTACTCCGAAAAAAACAAATGTGTATATGGCAACATTGCACCTCCGCGGAATATTTTATATTGTGCGCAAACGCGTTTAACTTGTTTTTCCAAATAAATGAATTTTGGACATTTTACAATATTTTTTATTTTTGGATAATTTAACGGGGAAAATGATAGGTATTTTTAATTAATTTATAAATTTTATATAACTATTACGGCTATTTCGTATTTCGATATCATATTTCTCTTGCTAATTTTTGATTTCCTATACTTTTTATGAACTTGTTTCAATTTTTTTTACTTTTTATCACTTTTTGTATATTTCCCTAGACGTGAACATAAAAATGTTTTGTTTTTTCTATTTTTCAGGCTAAGTCCACCAAAAATTCGCATTTTTAGGGACCCTCACTAATGTAAACAAATACCACACAGATTACTAAAGAATAGAATAATTTATTTAAAGAAAGTGTATGTTATTCCCATTATATTATTTTAATAACATCGATAAAAGTGCTGTATTCTGCTAGAGTTTCTTTATATTTATTATATTTGAATATCCTTAGGTCTCCCATGAACGGTGGACTTCATGTTAAACAAGAGTTGACCCAAGAGCATCACATGAGGAGCGATCGTGATCGTGACCGTGATCATGAAATGCATCATGTCATAAAGCGTGAAATGCTCTCTGAATACGAAGACTTGGATCAAGAGCAGTCGGAAAATGTAGCAGAAGATCTCACAATAGCTTCAGATCATACGGAGTCGAACATTGTCGACCAATAGTGATATAAAGTGTTCAACTCACTCGAATTCTTTAGAACTTTTCTTCGTTAATGAACGAGAACTATATTGGTAAAATAGGTGAAGATTTGAAGAATGGCTTAAACTTTGTATATTTGTGTGTTAGTGTATGTACATATAGAAAATATGTTTAAAATGGATGAGAGTGTTATGGGTATTGTTATCGTTTAGACAAATTTGTCGAGTGTTGTATCATCAGAAAAAGATCTTGATTTTTTATTAATACAGGGTTATTTGTTACGCGATGGACTTTTTTTGGCTAAGCCAAAGATTATTTTTAACATATTTAGTGTTAGTTTTTATGATATTCTCCTAAAATCTTGAGCGAATTTTCAAAAACCGAACACTATTTTTTAATTCCTCTAGGTAAACAACTTTAGTGTATTTTTTACGTATATCCAACGTCTCCTTTATTTTTCACTTAAAAAATTTCGTCTTGTTATGTTAAGAATCTTTCTAGTATGTATAAAAAAGCAATAAGTAATATACAAGAAAATGCCAAAATTAAATATGTAAATATATTTGCCATAATAGAATCAACAAGTAGGTGAACCACTTAGTGTTAGGTGAGTCATTTTAACCTTGCAGTTTTTATATTTATTTTTAATTTAAATTTTAATTTTGCCATATATAATTTGGGAAAACCAGATAGATATCATCCCATGTGCATAAAATCGTTTGTATTAGTTTCTATTTCTCTTTTATCTTTTCTTTTTAATTTTTACAGATTTCTAATCAAATATATTATTTCAACGACTTTCAAAGAAGTTTTTGTAGCTATTCTTTTTTGTTTTACCTGTTGTTTGGGGTACGACCTAAATTTATTATAAAATTAGCAGTAGCACTGTGTTATTTCATATACATATATGCTAAAAATCATCGTTTGACATCAATATGCTCTTCCTTCTCTCAATATTCCTATAAAAAAAGTACAAAATGATATCAAATTTAGACAGAAAATAATTTAATATTTCTTTAAAATTAAAAAAAATGATCATCACTTACTATCAACTTAGCCCACAAGTTTTTAATTTTGGTACCTCTAATAGTAAAGTACCTTTATTATTTATTTATAAAAAGAAAAAAAAATCCAAGAAATTAAGTATGTATAGGTCCTACTCTTGCTGCATATAACTAATTTCCAGAACTCCACATTGTGATCGCAATACTGCCCAGCTCAATTCTACATAATAGCTTTAACGTCACCTGTCACATCACGTTATGTCAGTACGCACGATGTATAGAAGCAGAATATGCATACGGTATTTAGTCAAAAGATGACTGTTCTATAACCTTGAGGTATAAAATTTACAGACATACTCTTATGTACTCAATAACGTTGTTATGCCTATGTATACATAGAGATTTAAATCCATAAAGATCATTATTTGGCTTCCATACTCTTCTAAATCTAAACTACTTCTTCAGGAGGTTGTCAATTATAACTTTTGAAGCAGCTGTTCTAAACATTTTTTTTTGAGCTGCAATGATCACATTCCCTTGAGTTTCTGAGCCAAGACCTCACACATCTTCCTTTATTTTGCCGTGGATTATCAACGTGACTGTTTAAAAAATTAACATTGTGGTTCGTCAAACATCCTAATTTTTAATCTTCTTTAACACGTTAGCTACAATAGAAACATATTCTGGAACTTTGTATTTCCCAAGAACTTTGTAGCGACTTCCTTCAATGCTTCCTTTTCATTTATGGTTATTGTGGATTTAAAGTTAACCAACATTATTTGTATTAATGTCAAGAATGACAAAGACACTATCTTTTAGTTTAGCATCTGAAAGGCATGCCAACTCTTGGCAGAGATACTTGAAACATGGTCTATATAGAGAGGAAGTCTGAAATCTTCAAAAGATATCTCAATCCAGGACGCCAAACGACTGACCTTAGTGCAGGATTCCTTCTTCGTAGTAGTCGCGATAGTAGGGTAGATTTAAAAGGCACACTCTTTGCCAAGTCTACGCCGAACTCCTACTTGCTAAACCAGACCCTCCTATATCATCCAGCAATCCGGAAGTGGAATGGCAGCTGTAAGGACGAGCAGTAACTTCCAAAGGACTACCTCCATTAACCAACGACTGTCAACAAGGAGACTCCCTCTCTCTTTCCCTGTTTCCACTTTTTTTATCCCAAAAATGGTTACATTCTTGTTAAAGAAACTTATATTCCTATAAATTTTAGACTAGAGCCAAGCAATTCAATTCAGCTTTTTGTTTTTTTTTTAGTCCTTCTCTCTATTCGGATTGCCGAATATAGATAGGCCTCTCTTAATTCTCGTCATTCATCTTTGTTCTTTTAATATTGTCGCTGCAGCGCATTTGCGGTCTTTCTCGTGGTATTTTGGCTTCATATGGCCGTCAATTCCTGATTTCTTTATTTCATCGGCCATCCTTAAAACGTTCGTTATGTCCAGCCCATTTCCATTTCAATTTAGCTGCCTGTTTGACATCGCATCTTTTACTTTGTTCTATTACGAATGTCTTCATCGGTTTTATGGTCATTGAGAGATACTCATCATCTGCCATTCCCGATCTATATATATATATCTATATATATATATATATATATTCTATATATATATATATATATATATATATATATATATATATATCGGTTTTGAAACGTTCTCCTACGTCTTCCGATGCCTAGTCGCCATTCACTTCGGTCCATCCAAAGGTCTTCATCTAATTCTCTTTCTCTCATACTTCGATTATGCCTTCTCTCCAACTAAGGCGGGGTCTTCCTCTTTTTCGTCTACCATGAGGGGTCCACGTTAGGATTTGTTTCGGGAGTCGTTCTTCGGACATTCTTTGTACGTGTCCATACCATCTAAGCTGTTTGGTACTAATGTCATCTACTATTGTGTGTTTCACATTCATTATTTCCCTAATTCTGTTGTTGGTTACCCTTTCTAATCTTGATTTTCCTGCTGAGCGCCTCCAGAAATCCATTTCTGTTGCTACAAGTTTTCTCTTGTATCTTTCTTTTATTTGCCATACTTCACTGCTGTAAGTGATTATACTCTTAACAATTGTATCGTATATTCTATGTTTGTTGTTGTTTGATATTGCCTGGTCCCACAGTATGCTATTGAGAAGGGTAATTGCTTTTCTTCCCTGGTTGTTTCTTTCTTCTATCGTCCGGTCTACGTTTCCTTCTTGTGCGATGGTTATACCCAGGTATTTATATGCGTCGCAATGTTTAATAATTTCGCCATTCCCCAGTGTAAGGTCCTGCTGTGTCCTACCGATACACATATATTCGGTCTTTTTTATGTTTATTTCCAAACCACCTTTTTTGTACTCCTCTATTAATTTCCTTGTCATATATTCTATATCATCGTAGTCTTGCACTAGTACAAGTTGGTCGTCTGCAAATGACAAAGTGTATATTGTATTGTTGTTGATCGGTAATCCCACGTTTTTGCATTTGCGTTTCCAAAGTTTTAGAGTTTGCTCGAGGTAGATCTTAAATAATGTCGGTGAAAGGCAGCACCTTTGTTTTAGGCCTTTGCTAATTTGGAATCCTCTCGATAGCCCGCTTCCAACTTTCACCCTTGCTGCAGTTTTGGTATACAATTGTTTCGTCGCTGTTATTAAATTTGCGCTTATATTGGTTTTCTCTAATGCTTCCCATAGTTTGTTTTGTGGGATGCTATCATACGCTTTTCTCAAGTCCACATATAACAGATGCACCTCCTGGTTGACGGCCAGTTTCTTCTCAATAATCTGTGTAATACAAAACAGATGGTCTACCGTTGATCTCCCTGTCCGGAATCCTGCCTGTTCTTCAACTTCTATATCTTTATATTCGTTTTCGATTTTATTTTTAATCAGTTTTCCGTATATTCGGCTGATCGAGTTCGTTACAGCGATGCCTCTGAAGTTGTCACATTGATCCCGTCTGCCTTTTTTATGTTTGGTGGATATCCATGATGTCTTCCATTCTTCTGGGATTTCCGCTCCGTTGATGTATCTTTGAAAGAGTTTAGCCAGGTTTTCATATAATTTTGTTGTGCCATATTTTATTAGTTCAGCTGGTATGTTCCCTGGTCCTGGTGCTTTGTTATTTTTTAAAGACTTACATACTTCTTCTACTTCTTTTGTTGTTATTCGTAATGGTGAGGCTAAGATATTTACGTTGCTGGTATCACTGTTATTTAAAAATTCCGCTCTGTCCTCATTTAGGAGTTTTTTAAAATATTCGTCCCATTGATCCGGTGTAATTGATGATATTATATCTTTTTTCTTTTCCTGTCGTAGCGATTTTAATACTTTCCAACTTGCTGTACTTCTCCGTCCTCCTAAATGTGTGTTAATCATGTTACACTTTTGCTCCCAAGCTTCATTCTTCTTTTGGCATATCATTTTTCGCACTTTAGCTTGGGTCCTCTTGTATTCTACCTTATCAGCGTCGGTCCTTGTGTTCAGAAATTTTTTATACTTCTCTCTTTTATTTTTAATCTCTTGTTTTATTTCTTTGTCCCACCAATACGAAGTTTTTCTGTGGTTTTTTACTTGGAGTCCGAGAGCCTCTGTTGCTTCTTCCTGAAGACATGTTTTTATATAATGATAATGCTCTTCATTGATGGTAAATTGCATGGTTTCTAACTTTTTATCTAGTCTACTCCTGTATAAATCCCCCACGCTTTCTTGTTCTAAGCTGTTTAGGTTGTATTTCTTTTCTGTTAGTTTTTCTATTTCCTCTGATCAGCTTTTTGTAATATATTGGAATTCTTTATCATCTTGTTCATTTAAAATTTACATCAGAAAATAGTTTAGTTTGAATTTAATTTAAATCCTCTGGAAATTCAGGGATCGACAAATCTACACCGTGCCCTATTGATCGAACGACGGGCAAAACTTTAGCTTAGCTTATTAATTTCTTGTTTTTTGGCCAATAATATCAACATTTTAAAAGTAACAGTCGTAGAAACAACAAATTTAAAGATTTTTTTCTGATTTTTTAA